GTTCTGGGCCAGGGCAGGTCCTCACTGGGATTTCTCTGTTCCCTGCAGGAATCAACAAGCGGGGGGCCAAGAACTGCAACGCCATCCGCCACTTCGAGAACACCTTCGTGGTGGAGACGCTCATCTGCGGGGTGGTGTGAAGGCCTCCCCGCCCTCCCGGTCCCACCCCTGCCTCTCCTCTTTTCTCTTCCTGCCACTCTCTGGCCTTCCTCCTTCCCCTCTCTTAGCTTGTACTTTGACGCCATTCCACAGATGTGACGTTCCTCCCCGTTCCCATCAAGCCCTGCCCGCCTCCCTGTCCCAGAGCCGTGACCTCTCAAGGCCCCCACCTCCGCTGATGTCCCGGGCCTGGGGGACAGAGAGGGCGCCCTGAGATGGTGTCTGTGGGGTCCTCTGGGGAGGACTGGATGGAGGGGCTGGGCACGTGGGGGTTCTGGGCTAGGGGAAAGGGTGTGGGGAGGAGTGTGGAGTGGGGTTCAGAAATGTCTGCACAGTTGGAAACTCCTGAAGGCTTTTTTCTTGGATGGCACACTTCCTCCTGTGTCCCAGCTCCCGGGACTGGGCTGAGGGTGGGGGACTGTGCCAGGGAGGGACCCACCAGAGCACAAGGGAAGGTGGTTGTCAGTGCCTTCAGCCCACCAGAGGGAGCCTGGAGCCTGGGGGTGGGACTGAGTTTGTCAAGCACAATTGTTCTCTGAGTGGAACCAAAGAGGGAGGAGCCAGGGCCCCCAGCGCTGGCCCCCCAGGAGCAGGGTAGGATCCCACAGCCAGACCCACACTGGAACAGGGCAGAGGAGGGTCGCTTCTCCTCCTGTCGCTGTGGGGCTGAGCGCAGCACTGATGCCAAGTGGGTGGGGGCTCCTGGCTTCCTCCAAGCTTAGAGCTGTTGTAGATCATGTGGAGGGGAGGAAGAGCCACCTGGTACCTGCACACCCTGCCTCCTCTTTGTTCTGAAATCCGTCCCCCTCTGCTTTGGGGGAATGCACCGTTTTTCCTTTTCCTCCTCACTTTTGCATGTTTTGCTGATCATTCCTTATGCTAACCCCTCTGAGCCCTGAGCCTTGAAGAGGAGGCTTCAACGCCTCCAGTCAGGCTTGGGTGCTCCCTGGAGATGAAACTCTTAAACGCTTTGTATATTTTCTCACTTAGATTTCTTTTCAGAAGTGTCTGTAGAACAATAAAAATCTTTGACTTCTGACTTTGACTAGAAAG